ATAGGAACAAACCACTGTGTATACACACATACACATGCACACACACACACACACAGAGTATGTGCCCAATAATGGGATTCTGGTTCTGGATCCTTGAGGAATCACCACACTGTCTTCCACAATGGTAGAACTAATTGACACTCCCACCAACATTGTAAAAGCATTCCTATTTCTCCACATCTGCTCCAGCATCTGTTGTTTCCACTGCATGAGATGGTATCTCATTGTGGTTTTGACTTGCATTTCTCTAAGGATCAGCGATGATGAGCTTTTTTTCAGATGTTTGTTGGCTGCATAAATGTGTTCTTTTGAGAAGTGTCTGTTCATATCCTTTGCCCACTTTTTGAGGAGATTGTTTGTTCTTTTCTTGTAAATTTGTTTAAGTTCCTTGTAGATTCTAGATATTAGGCTTTTGTCAGATGGAGAGATTGCAAACATTTTCTCCCATTCTGTAGGTTGCCTGTTCACTCTGATCATAGTATTGGAAGTTGTGGCCAGAGCAATCAGGCAAGAGAAAGAAATAAACAGTATTCAAAGGAAGAAAGGAAGTCAAATTGTCTCTGTTTGCAGACGATATGATTGTATATTTAGAAAACAAATTGTCTCAGCCCCAAATCTCCTTCAGCTGATAAGCAACTTCCTCATAGTTTCAGGATCCAAAGTCAATGTGCAAAAATCACAAGCATTCCTATACACCAATAATAGAGAGCTAAATCATGAGTGAACCCCCATACACAATTGCTACAAAGAGAATAAAATAGCAAGGAATACAACTCACAAGGGATTTGAAGACCCTCTTCAAGGAGAACTACAAACCACCACTCAAGGAAATAAGAGGACACAAACAAATGGGAAAACATTCCATACTCGTGGATAGGAAGAATCAGTAATTTGAAAATGGCCATACTACCCAAAGTAATTTGTAGGTTCAATGCTATACCCATCAAGCTACCATTGACTTTCTTCACAGAATTAGAAAAAACTACTTTAAATTTCATATGGAACCAAAAAAAGAGCCCATATAGCCAAGACAATCCTAAGCAAAAAGAACAAAGCTGGAGGCATCATGCTACCTGACTTCAAACTATACAACAAGGCTACAGTAATGAAAATAGCATGGTACTGGTACCAAAACAGATATATATAGACCAATGGAACAGAACAGAGGCCTCAGAAATAATGCCATACGTCTACACCATCTGATCTTTGACAAACCTGACAAAAGCAATGGGGAAATGATTACCTGTTTAATAAATGGTGTTGGGAAAACTGGCTAGCCTTATGCAGGAAACTGAAACTGGACTCCTTCCTTACACTTAATACAAAAATTAACTCAAGATGAATTAAAGACTTAAAAGTAAGTTCTAAAAGTATAAAAACCCTAGAAGAAAACCTAGGCAGTGCCATTCAGGACATTGGCATGGGCAAATACTTCGTGACTAAAACACCAAAAGCAACGGCAACAAAAGCCAAAATTGACAAATGGGATCTAATTAAACTAAAGAACTTGTATGCAGTTTTATTTGGGAGTGTGTGTGGAGTACCTTTGAGTTTTAAAAATGAAGAAAGTAAGTAGTCATGCTTTCCTGACTCTGGTAGACATAGCCTTTTAAGACAGTGATTCTGAGCGGTTATGGTCTTAGAATTTTCTATACCAATAAAACTTATTGATGACATGTAACCAAGAGCTTGAATTAAGTTAAAAAAAAATTAAAGAGAAATCACCCAAATGCACATTAAAAACCTCTTACCACATATGTGCACATTCATAGATAACATGTAGAACTTGATTTTGTGTATTAAAAACTTGTAGAAAAGTTCAGGCAGTGCACAAAATAACTGCAACTTGGTCTTTGTAAAATCTGTCTATCCACACTGACCCAGTGAGGTATTTCTTGATTTATTATATGATCTCATGATATTCCATGTGGTAACTACAGCATATTATGCTCTCTTCATGCTGATACCATATCGACTTAAATATGATGACATACCAACATGGATATGCTTACGTGGTTGCTTTTATTGATTTGTACTATATTAGAAATGAAACAGAAGTATTGGAAATCCTAGCAAGCATAGCTGTATCTCTCCCATGGCTGTGTTGATTGCAACTGTTTCTCCCTTAAAGCATGTCTTTTTGACATGTCATAACCCTGAGAAAATCCAGTGTGTGCTTTTCAGAGAATGACAGTAAGGAGAGGAAATGGCCAATGGTCAAAGTGTTACTTGTCCTCTCGGCTCCCCTTCATGAATGTTAAACTCTAAACTACTCAGGTCACAATTTCGAACCCCTTTGTTGATCCCTATAGATTGTTCCCGGATGTCAAATGACAAATAGGGCCTTGAAGACAAAACACCCTGTAAAGCCATATTGCTCTGTTTTTTGTGTGTGAATGTGTGTGTGTGTGTGTGTGTGTGTATTTTTTCTCTCTGAAAACTGTAAATAGAATAATTTTCATTACAAATCAAAATATTTTTGTTCCATATTTATTTCCTGTCTCATGGCACTCTTCTCAGATCTAGTAAGGATCTCAACATGTCTTATTTATATCTGCAAAAAATTATGTCAGTGCTTCATTTTTCATGTCAATTACTGACATGTTTTCAAGTCTTCACAAGTTATTTCTGAAGATATTGGTGCATTGAGGAGAGACAGTGTCATTGTAGTTAAAGAAGTTTTTAAATAGGTTACGTTCAATAACATTTCAGAGCCTGTTTCTCTGGAAGGCATAGAAATAGTGGTTTTATTCATAGTTAAACATAAAATAGATCCACAAAGTCTTGTGTGTATAAAAGTATTCATATCCTGGAAGATTTTAATTTACTGCTCAGTACTGTCTCCTGGAGAGGAAAATAGGTAAGGTAGATGGGTGAGCCTATGATAATAACTCGTAATATGAAGTGAAAGCATAGAGACAAAATGAGAGATGATAGATACTCAGACGGATGTGAGTGAAGAACAGCTGTGAAACAGAGTGTCTATGGGAGAGAGGAGGCCATGGGGCTGCTTTTGTGAAGAAGGAATTTGTACATGTTAGTCACGTGTCTGACACATTTAACATTTTAATAAAGCAAAACCTTATCTTCACATGTGTCTGTATGGGATTGTACAGATGTCCCAATACAGTGGTGAGAATAATGAAGAAACAAATGTGGAGGTCAAAGAATGAAGTCCACCAGTATGGATATTAGATTTATGAATGAAAAAGAGTGTATGTCAAATTGGGCAGGTGTAAACAAAGCATCTAGCTAGGTAATTTGGAGGTTTCTGATGAGGAGACTTGTGGAAAGTCACTTAATGGAAAGCGGAAGTTAGAAGGATGAGGGTGCCCACAGGGTCTCATTTCTTCTCCCTATAAGTTTTGCACATCAGTGATATGTGCTTCATTCATGTCAGTTAGCATATTGGGATGCTTAATCTAGAGAAAGTTTTTTTTTTTTTTCCTTTAGGAAAGCTGTGTTTACTAAGGTAGTTTATTTCATAAAAGGACCAGAGATACCTCTATGGTATATCATATCAAACTAGCTTTAGGAAAAGGAATCAAAGAATGCATTTCTTGAGTACTAAAAGGGTAACTGTCAATAATCTTGGCAATCATGACATATATATATATATATATATGTGCATATATATATTTGGTTAGTTAATAATAAAATAAGTCTCTGGTTATTTAGAGATTTTGTTTAACTTATTTACATGGGAATCTGATTATGCATTATTTCTTTGATGTGTATGCTTTTGCAAAAGTGGAAAAAGAGTTGGCAAAAGAGCTGAACTGCTGAATCCAGGAAATGTAGGAATATTAGGAGCCTTCATGAGTACAAAGAAAATTATTTTTAAAATTACGACTCTAAGTATAACTGAACTCACTTCAAATGCATTTTAGAATATTTGCGTAAAGGATGATTTGATTTTGGCTGCTGCAGAAACTACTGGAGGAAGGAAAGGGTATAGAATTCAGATAAACCACAGTGACTCATTACTCCTCTTTGTTACTATTGGGAATCAGAGACATAGATTTTGCTGATATTAGTTATTCAAATGAAATAAACATGAATATGCATACATTGGCTTTGTTCTTCAAGGAGCTAACTTTTGGATACAATAGCAATTTAATGAAAATTCCTTAGAGAATAACATGATACTTCAGACTATTTTAGAAACAAAAATAATGTTTAATTCATTAAGTTATTATGACAATAACTCCTAAAATGGTTATTGTCAATGAATATTGGAGCTGTTTCCCAATGTAAAAGCTTATTAATATCTAATGCTTGTAGCAGTCTTATTTTGTAGAAGTATGTTAATATTGATAAATGATGATACTTTTTATTGAGGTTTATATATTATACCTTGTTGCCATGAGTGGATGAAAAGACTTTCAGAAGGCTAAACTAGAGGACACAAGAAACACAGGCAATTATTACACCTCATGAGTCTGAGAAATAATGAATACTATCTACTAGAATTCACCAAACATATATCCAAGCTGATCAATTTAGGACACTTCCACTGAGGAGACATGAAGTGTACATTCAGCTGAAGTGTCATTGTAATTGTGTACCTTCTTAGCTATCAGGCAAGTTAAAGAGCATGATGAATGTTTGTAGTATAATGGTATATGTCCTTCTGATCTCTTGCATTAAAAACATGCGAGAGCATGTACCACCTGCTTTGACATTGATTCCCAGGTGTATCGTTGCTCCTCTGTTTTTAGACCACATTTGTTTTTATCCCTCAGCATATCCACGTTGATACTGACACTGTTTCATTTTAGTTTTAGACATATGACAAATCATATCATGTTTGAAATTGTAAGTGTATATTTCATGAAGCCTGTATTCGTGTTTTCTTCAGTGTATTTCTGTCATGTTCCAGTCCCAAGACACAAAATATAAAACATAAAACCTAAACTAATATAGGCAGGAGGATACAGCTTGATGCTAACACTGCATGCATGTATGGATAACTTTATCATATTTACACATGATTGATTATGTATCCCTTTTGCTTTTCAGTGTCTTCTCAGAAACAACCGGCCTTGAAGGTAATTACACATTCATTTATGTTTTGAACTATTAACTGTATAGTCTGTGAAATATACTTTATGTATTGATTGTTTTGTTTCAAATCCCATTCAGGCTACAAGTGAAAAGAAAGATTCTGTTTCGAATATAGCCACAGAAACAAAAGATGGAGAAATATCTGGGACAGGTAATTTTGCAATACACATTTAATGTTATGTTCACTCAGGATAGAAGAGAACTTCCCTTCCCTGAATAAATCGCAGGGGGCTCATTGAAGCTGCACATTCTGATTCAGCAGGCCTGAGATTCTGCATTTGTAATAAGTACTTGGGTGATGCTGATGCTGCTGGTCCTTGGCCATGATCTGAGTAGTAAGATTATACATTTCCCTATATTCGGCTTGGCAAGAGAATCATTTGGTAGAGGCAGTTCAGAGACACTTAACTTACAATTAAGGGGAAAACATAATTTTGCTTTAAATCTAAGTATATTTCCATCAAGAGAAAGGAGAAAGATGAAATAATGAGAAATTATAAGCATCAGATTAGCATTGCTAAGACCAGAGGGAAGAGATGGTGTAACAACACATAAACACTATAGAATGAAATATGTGTAACAAGACCATGATAATTTGGCAATAATTATTTTCCTCAAAAAGAGATTATGAGGCAGGAAGGAGGAAAATAATATTATTTAATTTGCATTTCTTGCTGAGAAACCTGAGTGAACTAACTTCAAAGAAGCCCGTTTAGATCAGGCCCATAACAGAGGATCTGATTTGGCTCGAATTCTGCAAACATTAAAGAGTGTAGGTAGGATAATCCCACAGTGACTCGTTATTCCTCTTTGTTACTATTAGGCATCCAGAAGTCTTGTTTTGTTGATCTTAGTTAGCAAAGTGAGATAAACTTAAACACTTAAATATGATTACATTGTCTTCATTCAAGGAGCTAACTCCCAGCGGATAAAAGCCAACTATTTAATGATAATGCTTTAGAAAAAAACACAATTGCTCAAACTGAGCTACCAAACAAAATAATGTTGGTCATCCAATTGACTCCTAAAATGGTTATTTTCAATGAGCATATTGGAGCTGTTTGATAAGCTTATTATTATCTAAATGCCCCAACAGTTTTGTTTTGTAGAAGTATGTCAAAGGCCTGATAATTGATAATACTTTTATTGAGGTTATATATTACTCCTTTCTGCCACAGTGGATGAAGAAACTCAAAAGTCCCAACTAGAGGATACTGAAAGCTTAGGCAAATTATTACCACATGGGTGTGAGAAATAATGAATATATTATCTACCAAGGTTCACTACTTTATATACAAGCGCTGATCAATTTTAGCGAGACACTTCCACTACCCAAGGAGACGTAAAATTAATATATCAGGAGTGGGGCAGTTAAAGGCTTAGGATAAATATTTGTAGTCTAATGGTATGAATCTTTCACAGTGTCTTTCAAGAAAGACATGCGGTTGCATCTTACCACCTGCTTTGTGGCATAAGACTCTCAGGTGTGTAGTCTCCTCTGATTTTAAGATCACATTTGTCCCTCACCACTTGCCAAATCCGGATACTGACACACTGTTTCGTTTTAGTTTTAGACATATGACAAATTATACCACATTTGAAATTGTAAGTGTATATTTACACTTACAAAAGGCCCTGTATTCAGTTTTCTTCAGTATGTTTCTGTGTGTTCTGTCCCAAGACACAAGTGAGAACTTATCAAGCTACACTATTTTTAGGAAGGAGGGTACAGCTTGTTTAACCTGCATGACGTGGGGATAAATTTACCATGTTACATGATTGACTATATATCCCTTTTGTTGTTTTTCAGTGTCTTCTCAAGAAAACTGAAAACGGCATGAAGGTAATTACACTCTCATTATATTTGGAACTATTAACTACTTAGTCTATGAAATGCTTTACTTATTGATTATTTTGTTTTAAAATCCCATTCAGGCTACAAGTGAAAAGAAAAGAATTCTGCTGTTTCAAATATAGCCACAGAAATAAAGGATGGAGAAAAATCAGAGACAGTGTTTGCAATACACATTTAATGTCATGTTCACTCAGGATAGAAGAGAACTTCCCTTCCCTGAATAAATCAGCGAGCTCATTGAAGCTGCGCATTCTGATTTTATTTATATTTTGAACTAGTAAATGCAGAGTCTATGAAACATACTTTATTTATTGATTATTTTATTTCAAATTCCGTTCAGGTTACAAGTGACGAGAAAGATTCTGTTTCAAATATAGCCACAGAAATAAAGGATGGACAACAATCTGGGACAGGTAATTCTGCAAAACACATTTAATGTCATGTTCAGTACAGGTAGAAAAGAACGTCTCTTCCCCAAATAAATCAGCAGGAGACTTGTCCAAGCTGCATATTCTGATTCAGCAGGCCTGAGATTCTTCATATGTAATAAGTTCTTGGGTGACACCGATGCTGTTGGTCTTGGACATGATCTTCGCAATAAGATTATAGACTTCCACACATTGAAACTGGGAAGAAGAAACATTGGAGAGCAGGGCAAGACATAAGGGACTCAGGGGACAGCATAATTTTGCTGTAATTCTGCAGCATATTTTCACCAAGGGTGGAAGGAGAAAGAAATGAAGTATAGATTTTACAGACATCACACCGTACTGCTAAAGACAGACAGAAAATTGATCGTAATAACTCGTGGACACTAGAACGAGAAGTAACGAGACCACTGATGTAGCAATTAGTTTACCCAAGGAAGAGGGACTGTGAGGCAGGAAGGAGGGAAAAGAAGTTATTTATGTAATTTTGGGATTTCTGCTGAGGAAACCTGCGTGAACGCACTTCAGATGCATGTAGCATATTTGAAGAAAGGAGATTTGATTTCACAGCTCCTGGAACTACAGGATGCAGGAAAGAATGCTATAATTAGGATAAACCACAATGACTAGTTACTCCCCTTTGCTACTATTAGGCATCAGACTTACATGTTTCATTGATTTTAGTTTTAAAAATGAGATATGCTTGAATATGAATACATTGGCTTCTTTGATCAAAGAGGTAAGTCTTGGATAAAATCGCTATTTAATGAATATTCTTTAGAGAAGAGCATGATACTCCTAGCAAGACTATTTTAGAAACAAAAATACTGTTGAATTCATCAACTGACCCTTAAAATGGTCATTTTCAATGAATATTGGCGTGATTTCTGAATGGAAAAGCTTACTGCTATCCAATGCTTGTAGGAGTTTTATTTAGTAGAAGTATGTCAAAATTAATAATTGATTATGTTCTTTATTGAGGTTTATATATTATACTTTGTTGCCATGAGTGGATGAAGAAATGTTTGGAAGGCTAAACTAGAGAATACAAGAAACTTAGGGGAATTATTACACCACATGGGTGTGAGAAATAATGAATATTATTTACTCAGATTCCAGAAACATATATCCAAGGTGATCAATTTAGGACACTTCCAACTTAAAAGACGTGAAATGTCCATTCAACTAAAGTGTCATTGTAATTGTGTAAGTTCTCAGTTATCAGGCAAGTTAAAGAGCATGATGAATGTTTGTAGTATAATGATGTAAATCCTTCTGCTTTCTTGCCTAAAAGACATGCAGGATCATGTACCACCTGCTTTGACATTGTTTCTCAGGTGTATGAATTGCTGCTCTGATTTTACATCACATTTCTCCTATTCACTCGACATATCCTTATTGATACAGACACGGTTTTATTTTAGTTTTAGACGTATGACTAATCATACCATGTTTGAAATTGTAAGGGTATATTTCGTGAAGCCTGCATTCCTTTTCTTCAGTGTATTTCTAAAGTAGAAAACATCAAATCCTACACTAATACAGGTAGGAGGATACAGCTTGATGCTAACACCTCATGAATGTATGAATAACATTATCTTATGTACATATGAGTGATTATGTGTCCCTTTTGCTTTTTAGTGTCTTCTCAGAAACAACCAACCTTGAAGGTAATTAAACTCTCATTTATATTTTGAACTCGTAACTGTATAGTCTATGAACTATACTTTATGTATTGATTATTTTGTTTCAAATTCCATTCAGGCTACAAGTGACAAGGAAGATTCTGTTTCGAATATAGCCACCAAAATAAAGGATGCACAAATATCTGGGACAGGTAATTTTGCAATACACATCTAAGGTCATGTTCAATCAAGATAGAAGAGAACTTCCCTTCCCCAAATTGGGAAGAAGAAACACTGGAGAGCTGTTCAAGATATAAGGGGCTCAGGGGACAGCATAATTTTGTTTTAATTCTACAGCATGTTTTCACCCAGAGTGGAAGGAGATAGATTTTACAGACGTCACATCGTACTGCTAAAAACAGATGGAAAAGTGATTGTAATAAACTGTAGACACTGTAGAACAATAACTAATGAGATTACTGGTGTAGCAATTATTTTCCTCAAGTAAGAGGGATTGTGAGCCAGGAAGGAGGGAAAAGAACTTATTTCTGTAATTTTGAGGTTTCTGCTGAGTAAACCTGAGTGAACTCACTTCAGATGCATTTGGAACATTTGCATAAAAGAAGATTTGATTTTGGCAACTCCAGGAACTGCTGAAAACAGGAAACAATGCTATAATTGCCGTAAACCAAACCGACTCATTACTCCTCTTTGTCACTATCAGGCATCACATATACATGTTTTGTTGATTTTAGTTATAAAAATTAGATAAACCTTTGTTTCATTTGATGTTTGTTGGTTTAAAGTCTATTTTATCAGAGACTAGGTTTGCAACTGCTGCTATTTTTTGTTTTCCATTTGCTTGGTAGATCTTCCTCCATCCCTTTATTTTGAGCCTATGTGTGTCTCTGCCTGTGAGATGGGTCTACTGAATACAGCACACTTATAAGTCTTGAGTTTATCCAATTTGCCAGTCTGTGTCTTTTAATTGGAGCATTTAGCCCATTTACATTTAAGGTTAATATTATTATGTGTGAATTTGATCCTGTCATTATGATATTAGCTGGTTATTTTGCTCATTAGTTGATGTAGCTTCTTCCTAGTGTTGAAGGTCTTTACAATTTGGCGTGCTTTTGCAGTGGCTGGTACTCGTTCTTCCTTTCCATGTTTAGTGCTTCCTTCAGGAGCTCTTGTAAGACAGGCCTGGTGGTGACAAAATCTCTCAGCATTTGCTTATCTGTAAAGGATTTTATTCCTTCTTCACTCACGAAGCTTAGTTTGGTTGGATATGAGATTCTGGGTTGAAAATTCTTTTGTTTAAGAATGTGGAATATTGGACCCCACTCCCTTCTTGCTTATAGAGTTTCTGCCAAGAGATCCGCTGTTAGTCTGATGGGCTTTCCTTTGTGGGTGACCCAACCTTTCTTTCTGGCTCTCCTTAACATTTTTTCCTTCATTTCAGCTTTGGTGAATCTGACAATTTTGTGTCTTGGAGTTGCTCTTCTCAAGGAGTATCTTTGTGGCATTCTCTATATTTCCTGAATTTGAATGTTGGTCTGCCTTGCTAGGTTGGAGAAGTTCTCCTGGATAACATCTTGGAGAGTGTTTTCCAACTTGGCTCTATTCTCCCCATCACTTTCAGGTACACCAATCAGACATAGATTTGGTCGTTTCCCTTAGTCCCACATTTCTTGGAGGCTTTATTCATTTCTTTTTACTCTTTATTCTCTAAACTTCTTTTCTAACTTCATTGAATTTATTTGATTTTTCAGTCACTGATACCCTTTCTTCCACTTGAATGTATTGGCTACTGAAGCTTGTGCATGTGTCATGTAGTTCTTGTGCCATGGTTTTCAGCTCCATCACGTTATTTAAGGTCTTCACTATATTGTTTATCGTAGTTAGCCATTCATCTAACCTTTTTTCAAGGTTTTTAGCTTCTTTGCGATGGATTCAAACATCCTCCTTTAGTTTGGAGAAGTTTGTTATTACTGATCGTCTGAAGCCTACTTCTGTCAGCTCATCAAAGTCATTCTCTGTCCAGCTTTGTTCTGTTGCTGGTGAGGAGCTGCGTTCCTCTGGAGGAGAAGAGGCACTCTGATTTTTAGAATTTTCAGCTTTTCTGCTCTGGTTTCTCCCCATCTTTGTGATTTTATCCACTTTTGGTCTGTGATGATGGTGACGTACAGATGGAGTTTTGGTGTGGATGTCCTTTCTCTTTGTTAGTTTTCCTTCTAATAGTCAGGCCCCTCAGCTGCAGGTCTGTTGGAGTTTGCTGGAGGTCCACTCCAGACCCTGTTTGCCTGGGTATCACCAGTGGAGGCTGCAGAACAGCAAATATTGCAGAACGGCAAATGTTGCTGCCTGATGCTTTCCCTGGAAGCTTCATCTTAGAGGAGCACGTGGCTGTATGAGGTGTCATTCTGCCCCTAGTGGGGGATGTCTCCCAGTTAGGCTACTCAGGGGTCAGGGACCCACCTGAGGAGGCAGTCTGTCTGTTCTCAGATGTCAAACTCTGTGCTGGGAGAACCACTACTGTCTTCAAAGCTGTCAGACAGGGAAATTTAAGTCTGCAGAAGTTTCTGCTGCCTTTTGTTCAGCTATGCCCTGCCCCTAGAGATGGAGTCTACAGAGGCAGGCAGGCCTCCTTGGGCTGTGGTGGGCTCCACCAAGTTCAAGCTACTGGGCCGCTTTGTTTACCTACTCAAGCCCCAGCAATGACAGGCAACCCTCCCCCAGCCTCGCTGCCACTTTGCAGTTCGATCTCAGACTACTGTGCTAGCAGTGAGCGACGCTCTGTGGGTGTGGGACACTCTGAGCCAGGCACGCGATATAATCTTGTGGTGTGTCATTTGCTAAGACTGTTGGAAAAGTGCAGTATTAGGGTGGGAGTGTACCGATTTTCCAGGTACTGTCTGTCACGTCTTCCCTTGGCTAGGAAAGGGAATTCCCAAACCCCTTGCACTTCCTGGGTGAGGCGATGCCCCACCCTGCTTTGGCTCACACTCCATGGGCTGCAGCCACTGTCCAACAAGCCCCAGGAGATTAACCCCGGTACCTCATTTCGCAATGCAGAAAACACCCATCTTCTGCGTCACTCATGCTGGGAACTGTAAATGGGACCTGTTCCTATTTGGTCATCTTGAGAAAAAGGTCAATTCAGCAAGAACAGCTAACTATCCTAAATATATATGCACCCAATACGAGAGCACCCAGATTCATAAAGCAAGTCCTTAGAAACTTACAAAGAGACTTAGACTCCCACACAATGGTAATGGGAGACTTTAACACCTCACTATCAACATTAGATCAACGAGACAGAAAGTTAACAAGGTTATCCAGGACTTGAACTCGGCTCTGCACCAAGTGGACCTAATAGACGTCTACAGAACTCTCCACCCCAAATCAACACAATATACATTCTTCTCAGCACCACATCGCACTTACTCCAAAATGGACCACATAGCTGGAAGTAAAGCACTCCTCAGCAAATGTAAAAGAACAGAAATTGTAACAAACTTGTCTCTAAGACCACGGTGCAATCAAAGTAGAACTCAGGATTAAGAAACTCACTCAACACTATTCACAATAGCAAAGACTTGGAATCTACCCAAATGTCCATCAGTGACAGACTGGATTAAGAAAATGTGGCACATATACACCATGGAATACTATACAGCCATAAAAAAGGATGAGTTTGTGTCCTTTGTAGGGACATGGATGCAGCTGGAAACCATCATTCTCAGCAAACTATCGCAAGAACAGAAAACCAAACACCACATGTTCTCACTCATAGGTGGGAACTGAACAATGAGATCACTTGGACTCGGGAAGGGGAACATCACACACCAGGGCCTATCATGGGGAGGGGGGAGGAAGGAGAGATTGCATTGGGAGTTATACCTGATGTAAATGACGAGTTGATGGGTGCTGACGAGTTGATGGGTGCAGCACACCAATATGGCACAAGTATACATATGTAACAAACCTGCACGTTATGCACATGTACCCTAGAACTTAAAGTATAATAATAATAATAAGAAGAAACTCACTCAAAACCGCTCAACTACATGGAAACTGAACAACTTGCCCCTGAATGACTACTGGGTAAATAATGAAATGAAGGCAAAAATAAAGATGTTCTTTGAAACCAATGAGAACAAAGATACAGCATACCAGAATCTCTGGGACACATTTAGAGCTGTGTGTAGAGGGAAATTTATAGCACTAAATGCCTACATGAAAAAGCAGGAAAGATCTAAAATTGACACCCTAGCATCACAGTTAAAAGAACTAGAGAAGCAAGAGCAAACACCTTCAAAACCTAGCAGAAGGCAAGAAATAACTAAGATAAGTTCAGAACTGAAAGAGATAGAGACACAAAAAACACTTATCAATGAATCCAGGAGCTGGTTTTTTGAAGAGATCAACAAACTTGATAGACCACTAGCAAGACTAATAAAGAAGAAAAGAGAGAAGAATCAAATAGACATAATAAAAAATGATAAAGGGGGTATCACCACCAATCCCACAGAAATACAAACTACCATCAGAGAATACTATAAACACTTCTAGGCAAATAAGCTAGAAAATCTAGAAGAAATGGATAAATTCCTGGACACATACACCCTCCCAAGACTAAACAAGGAAGAAGCTGAATTCCTGAATAGACCAATAGCAGGCTCTGAAATTGAGGCAATAATTAATAGCCTACCAACCAAAAAAAGTCCAGGACCAGATGGATTTGCAGCTGAATTCTACCAGAGGTACAAAGAGGAGATGGTACCATTCCTTCTGGAACTATTCTGATCAATAGAAAAAGGGGGAATCCTCCCTAACTCATATTATGAGGCCAGCATCATCCTGATACCAAAACCTGGCAGAGACACAACAACAAAAAAAGAGACTTTTAGACCAATATCCCTGATGAACATTGATGCAAAATCCTCAATAAAATACTGGCAACACTAATCCAGCAGCACATCAAAAAGCTTATCCACCATAATCAAGTTGGCTTCACCCCTGGGATGTGAGCCTGGTTCAACATATGCAAATCAATAAATGTGATCCATCGTATAAACAGAAACAAAGACAAAAACCACAGGATTATGTCAATAGATGCAGAAAAGGCCTTTGACAAAATTCAAAAGGACTTCATGCTAAAAACTCTCAATAAACTAGGTATCGATGGGACGTATCTCAAAATAATAGCTATTTATGACAAACCCACAGCCAATATCAAACAGAATGGGCAAAAACTGAAAGCATTCCCTTTGAAAACTGGCACAAGACAAGGATGCCCTGTCTCACCACTCCTGTTCAACATAGTGTTGGAAGTTCTGGTCAGGGCAATCAGGCAGGAGAAAGAAATAAAGGGTATTCTATTAGCAAAAGAGGAAGCCAAATTGTCCGTGTTCGCACATGACATGATGATATATTTAGAAAACCCCATTGTCTCAACCCAAAATTTCCTTAAGCTGATAAGCAACTTCAGCAAAGTCTCAGGATACAAAATCAACCTGCAAAAGTCAGAAGCATTCCTATACACCAATAACAGACAAACAGAGAGCCAAATAATGAGTGAACTCCCATTCACAGTTGCTTCAAAGAGAATAAAATACCTAGGAATCCAACTTACAAGGGATGTGAAGGACCTCTTCAAGGAGAACTACAAACCACTGCTCAACGAATAAAAAAGGACACAAACAAATGGAAGAACATTCCATGCTCATGGATAGGAAGAATCAATATCGTGAAACTGGCCTTACTGCCCAAGGTAATTTATAGATTCAGTGCCATCCCCATCAAGCTACCAATGACTTTCTTCACAGAATTGGAAAAAACTACTTTAAAGTTCATATGGAACCAAAAAAGAGCCCACATTGCCAAGACAATCCCAAGCCAAAAGAACAAAGCTGGAGGCATCATGCTAGAGCCTGACTTCTAACTATACTACAAGGCTACAGTCACCAAAGCAGCATGGTACTGGTACCAAAACAGAGATATAGACCAATGGAACAGAACAGAGCTCTCAGAAATAATGCCACACATCTACAACCATCTGATCTTTGACAAACCTGACAATAACAAGAAATGGGGAAAGGATTCCCTATGTAATAAATGGTACTGGGAAAACTGGCTAGCCAGATGTGGAAAGCTGAACCTGGATCCCTTCCTTACACCTTACACAAAAATTAATTCAAGATGGATTAAAGACTTAAATGTTAGACCTAAAACCATAAAAACCCTAGAAGGAAAACTAGGTAATACCATTCAGGACATAGGCATGAGCAAGGACTTCATGACTAAAGCACCAAAAGCAATGGCAACAAAAGCCGAAATAGACAAATGGGATCTAATTATACTAAAGAGCTTCTTCACAGCAAAAGAAACTACCATCAGCGTGAACAGGCAACCTACAGAATGGGAGAAAATTTTTTACAATCTACCCACATGACAAACGGCTAGTATCCAGAATATACAAAGAACTTAAACAAATTTACAAGAAAAAAATCAACCCCATCAAAAAGTGGGTGAAGGATATGAACAGACACGTCTCAAAAGAAGACTTTTATGCAGCCAACAGACACATGAAAAAATGCTCATCATCACTGGCCATCGGAGAAATGCAAATCAAAACCACAATGAGATACCATCTTGCGCCAGTTAGAATGGCAATCATTAAAAAGTCAGGAAACCACAGGTGCTGGAGAGGATGTGGAGACATAGGAACACTTTTATGCTGTTGGTGGGACTATAAACTAGTTCAACCATTGTGGAAGACAGTGTGGCGATTCCTCAAGGATCTAGAACTAGAAATACTATTTGACACAGACATCCCATTACTGGGTATGTACCCAAAGGATTATAAATCATGCTGCTATAAAGAAACATGCACACATATGTTTATTGTGGCACTATTCACAGTAGCAAGGACTTGGAACCAACACAAATGTCCATCAATGATAGACTGGATTAAGAAAATGTGGCACATATATACCACAGAATACTATGGAACCATGAAAAATGATGAGTTAATGTCCTTTGTAGGGACATGGATGAAGCTGGAAACCATCATACTGAGCAAACTATCCCAAGGACAGAGAACCAAACACCGCATGTTCTCACTCATAGGTGGGAATTGAACAATGAGGACACTTGAACACAAGTGTCAGAACATCACACACCGGGACCTGTCATGCAATTTGGGGATAGGGGAGGGAAAGCATTAGGGAGACATACCTAATGTAAATGATGAGTTAATGAGTGCAGCACACCAACATGGCACATGTATACATGTGTAAGAAACCTGCACGTTGTGCACATATGCCCTAGAACTTAAGTATAACAAAAAAATTAGATAAACTTGAGTATGAATACATTGGCTTCATTGATCAAAGAGCTAACTCTTGGATAAAATAGTTATTTAATGAATATTCTTTAAAGAATAGCATTATACTCCAAGCAAGACTATCTTAGAAACAAAAATAATGTTGAATTCATCAACTGACTCCTAAAATGGTAATTTTCAATGAATATTGGAGAGATATCCAAATGTAGAAGCTTATTAGTATCCAATGCTTATAGCTGTTTTATTTTGTAGAAGTATGTCAAAATTAATAATGGATTATGTTTTTTATTGAGGTTTATATATTATACTTTGTTGCCATGAGTGGATGAAAAAATGTTCAGAAGGCTAAACTAGAGAGTACAAGAAACTGAAGTGAATTATTATACCACATGGGTGTGAGAAAAAATGAATATTATTCACTCAGATTCAGGAAACATATATCCAAGCTGATCAATTTAGGACACTTCCACTGAAGAGACATGAAATGTACATTAAACTGAAATGTCACTGTAATTGTGTACCTTCTCAGTTATTTGGCAGTTTAAAGAGCATGATGAATATTTGCAGTGTAATGGTCTAAATCATTCACATATCTTGAATGAAAGACATGCACGTGCATGTGCCACCTGCTTTGACATTAATTCCCAGGTGATTGAGTTTCTCTTCTGATTTTAGATCACATTTGTCCGCATCATTCTGCATATCGTTATTGATATTGACACTGTTATATTTTAGTTTTAGATGTATGAAAAATCATATGTTGGAAATTGTTAGTGTATATTCCATGAAGCTTGTATTCCTGTTTTTTTTTCAGTGTATTTCAGTCATGTTCCTGTCTTAAGACACAAAGTATAAAACATCAAAACCTACAGTAATTTAGGCAGGTAGATGCAGCTGCATGCTAACACTGCATGAATATATGGATAACTTTATTGTATATACATATGATTGATAATGTGCCCCTTTTGTTTCTCAGTGTCTTCTCAGAAACCACTGGCCTGGAAGGTAATTAAACTCTCATTTATATTTTGAACTATTAACTGTATAGTCTATGAAATATACTTTATGTATTGATGATTTTGTTTAAAATCCCATTCAGGCTACAAGTGACAGGAAAGATTCTCTTCTGAATATAGCCACAGAAATAAAGGATGGACAACAATCTGGGACAGGTAATTTTGCAAAACACATCTGGTGTCATGTTCAATCAAGATAGAAGAGAACTTCCCTTCCCCAAGTAAATCAGCTTGGGGTTTGTTGAAGCTGCATGTTCTGATTCAGTACACCTGAGATTCTTCATTTGTAGTAAGTTCTTGGGTGACCCTCATGCTGCTGGTCCTTGACCATGATCTAAGTAGTAAGATTATAGACTTCCCTACATTGAAATTGGGAAGAAGAACCATTGGAGAGCGGTTCAACACATAAGGGGTTCAGGGGACAGAATAATTTTGCTTTAATTCTACTGCATGTTTCCATCAAGAGGGGAAGGTGAAAGAGATGAAGTAACAGATATTATAGGCATCAGATTGTATTGCTATAAATAGAGGGAAAAGTGATCCTAATACCCTATAAACAGTGTAGAATGAGAACTAACAAGATCACTGAAGTAGCAATTATTTTCCTCGAGGAAGAGGGATTGTGAGGCAGGAAGGATGGAAAAGAAGAAGGTATTTATGTAATTTTGGAATTTCTACTGAGGAAACCTGAGTGAACTCACTTCAGATGCTTTTGGAATACTTGCATAGAAGAAGATTTGATTTTGGCTGATCCATGAACTACTGGATGAAGGAAACAATGCTAGAATTGGGAGAAACCACCGTGACTCCTTACTCCTCTTTGTTACTATTCGGCATCAGAGATACATGTTTTGTTGATATTAGTTATAAAAATGAGATAAACCTGAATATGAATACATCGCCTTCCTTGTTCAAGGAGCTAACTCTTGGATAAAATAGCTATTTAATGAAACTTCTTTAGAGAATAGTATGATACTCTCAAGAAGACTATTTTAGAAACAAAAATTATGTTGAATTCTAATTAACTCCTAAAATGGTCATTTTCAATGAATATTAGAGGGATTTCTGAATGTAAAACTTACTAATATCTAATGCTTGTTTCAGTTTTACTTTGTAGAAGTATGTCAAAATTGATAATTGATGATATTTTTATTGAGGCTAATATATTATCCTTTGTTGCCACGAGTGGATGAAGAATCTTTTGGAAGGCTCAACTAGTGGATAAAAGAAACTTAGGCAAATTATTACACCACATGGGTGTGAGAAATGATGAATGTTATCTACTAGATTTCAGGAAACATATATCCAAGTTGATCAATTTAGGACAGTTCCACTGAAGAGACATGAAGTGTACATTCAACTGAAGTGTCATTGTAATCATGTATCTTTCAGTTATTGGCAATGTTAAAGAGCATGATGAATGTTTGTGGTATAATGGTGTAAATCCTAATTTCTTGCATGAAAGACATGAGGGATCGTGTACCACCTGCTTTGACATTGATTCTCAGGTGTATGAGTTGCTCCTCTGATTTTAGATCACATTTGTCCTCATCACTCGGCATATCCACATTGATATTGACATGGTTTTACTTTAGTTTTAGACTTATGACAAATCATACCGTGTTTGAAATTGTAAGGGTATATTTTGTGAAGCCTGTATTCCTTTTCTTTCAGTGTATTTCTATCATGTTTCAGTCTCCAGACACAAAGTAGAAAACATCAAAGCCTACACTAATACAGGCAGGAAGATACAGCTTGATGCTAACACTACATGAATGTATGAATAACTTTATAATATTTACATATGAGTGATTATGTATCCCTTTTGCTTTTCAGTGTCTTCCCAGAAACAACCAGCCTTGAAGGTGATTAAAATCTCATTTATATTTTGAACTAGTAAATGTATAGTCTATGAAACATACTTTATTTATTGATTATTTTGCTTCAAATTCCATTTAGGCTACAAGCGATAAGGAAGATTCTGTTTCGAATATAGCCACAGAAGTAAAGGATGGACAGCAATCTGGAACAGGTAATTTTGCAAAACACATAATGTCATGTTCAGTCAAGATAGAAAAGAACTTCTCTTCTCCAAATAAATCAGCCAGGGGCTCATTGATGCTGCACATTCTGATTCAGCAGGCCTGAGATTCTTCATTTGTAATAAGTTCTCGGGTGATGCTGATGCTGCTGGTCTTGGACGTGATCTTTGCAGTGAAATTACAGACTTCCCCACTGACGTGATCTTGCAGGAATTACAGACTCACTGAAATTGGGGAAGAAGAAACACTGAGAACAGGTCAAGACATATGGGCCCAGGGCTGTTAAGGCACCTGCTTTAATTCTGAAGATATTTTTCACTACGGTAGAAGGAGAAAGAGATGAAGTAGGATTACAGAGGTTACATTTGTATTGCTAGTATTGCTAAAACAGACAGAAAACATGCTGAATAACTCATAAACGCTGTAGAACGAGAAATCCACAAGACCATACTGAGGTAGCAATTACTTTCTTGGTTAAAGAGAATGGGATTTTGAGGCAGGAAGAGAAAGAGGATAATGGTGTAATTTGTTATTTCTGAGGAAACTGGAGTTCAGATGCATATTCAAACATTTGCCTAAAAGAAGATTTCCTGATTTTGGCTGCTGTAGACCCAGTGGCAGCGAGTACTAGAACTGGGATGCTTTACTGAGTGACTCATTACTCCTCTTGTTACTGTTGGGGCATCAGAGATATGTGTTTGCTGATATTAGTTATTCAAATGAGATGTTAAGGAATATGCACATATTGGCTTTGTTTTTCAAGGGGTATATTTGACAAAAGTATAAATTTAATAGAAATGCATTAGAGAATAACGGGATACTTCAAATCAGACTATTTTAGAAACAAAAGGAATTGAATTCATTAATTGACTTTTAAAAATTGTTATTTTCAATGAATATTGGAGTGATTTCAAACGTAAAAGGTTGTTCAAGTGTAATGCTTTAGCAATTTTATTTTGCGTGGGCATGACAAATTTGATCATTTATTATACTTTGATAAGGTTTATATATTATACTTTACAAGTATGCAAGGATGAAGAACCGTTCTGTAGGCTAAATTAGAGGACATAACAAACGTAGGCACATTATTACACGACATGGGTTTGAGAAAATAAGAATATTATATACTAGGATTATCCTAAACTTATATGCAAACTGATGAAGCTGGGACACTTCACTGAGGACTTGGTGAAGTGTACACTTACAGAAGCAGTCATTGTCATCGTACCTACCAATTACTGTGCGTTAAAGATCATGATGAATATTAGTAGCAGTGGCATAAATCCTTCTGCTGTTTTGTATGAGAAACGATGCCAGCATTTATCACCTTCTCTTGATACGATTCCCGGGTGTATGAGCTATTCTCTGATTTTAGATCACATTTTTCGCCATCTCGGCATATCCACATTGATGTCAACACTTTTATTTCAGTAATACACACATGATTCATAATGTCTCTTTGTAATCTAGATTGTATATTTCTGAAGCCTGACTCTTAATTTTGCAGGTATTTCATGTTCCCGTCCCAAAGATACACAAATTATAAAACATCAAACCCCATGCTAGCAGGCAGAGGATATAGCTTGATGCTAACACTGCATGAATGTATGGATAACTTTATCATATTTATACATGATGGATTATATATTTTACTTTTCAGGCCCCCAGAAACAATGTCCTGAAGGTAGTTACTCTTTCATTTAGACTTAATACTAATTGTATAGTCTATGAAATATATGTTATGTATTGAATATTTTGCTTCATCCCACTCCAGGTTATATTTAAAAGAAAGTTCCTGTTTTGAATATTGCCACAAGAATAATGGGGCTGGCCTTCCGGAAATCCGGGAACAGGCACTCTGGCAATGCATTTAATGTCATGCACTGAAGATAGAAGAGAACGTCCCAACCTGAACAAATCAGCGGGGCCCTGAAATGCACTTTCTGATTCAGCAGGCCTGAGATTGTGCATTTGTGTAAGTTCCTCAGGTGATTTTGATGCTGCGGTTCCTGCTGCGATCTTAGTAAATAAGGTTATAGTAGACTTCCCACATTGGAATCATGTAGAAGAACCGTTGGAAAACAGTCCAAGATAAGAGGATCAGGGGAGCTGGCATAATTTGATGTTATTCTGTTACTGCTCTCATGGGAGAGGGGAAGGAGAAAGAGAAGCAATGTGGGTTATAGATGTCAGATGGTTCTGCTACAACCAGAGGAAGAAGTTGTCACAATAACTCCAAACACTGAGAATGAGAAGCAAAAGGACCAATGATGTAGTAATTGTTTTTATCAAGAGAGAGGGATTGCAAGGCAAGAAAGAGGAAAAGGAAGAAGTTAGTTAGGTAATTTTGGGGCTTTAAGAGAAACCTGAGCAAGCTCACTTCAAATGCATTTGGAATATTTACATACGAGAAGATCTGACTTCTGGCTGCTCCAATGTCTACTGAATCAGGAAGGAGTGCTAGAACTGGGATAAACCCCCAGTGTCTCATTATTCCTGTTTATTAATATCAGACATCAGAGATATATTTCTTATTATTATTCAAATGGGTTAAAATTTAATATGAATACATTACTTTTTTCCAAAGTGCTGACTTTTTTGTTAATATAGTTATTTAGTGAAAATTTTTATGGCATAAAGTGATATTCCAGGAGCAGACTAATTTTAGAGATAGAAATAATGTGTGAATGCATTAATTGAATCCTAAATGGTTATTTCTGAATGAACACTGGACTGATATCCAAATGTAAAATTTATTAATATCTAATGCCTGCTGCAATTCCATTTTGTATAAATATGTATAATTTTTTGTACTTTTGATGGGGTTTATACATTATACCTTGTTGCCATAAAATAGGGATTTGAAGAAACTTTCTGAAGGCTAAACTAGAGAATACAGAAATGTAGGCGGATTATTACACCATAAGAGTATGATAAATAATGAATGTTATCTCCTAGGATCTCACCAAACATATATCCAAGCTGATCAAATGTAGCACACTTCACCTGAAGAGATGTATGTACATCTCAACTGCTGGCCATTGTGGCCTGTGTACCTTCTCAAAGATCTTGATGTCAAAGAGCACCATGAACGTTTGCGGTATAAATGGGTGT